TATTCGAAATTATAACATTGTCATTATTAAGAACTATTCGAACTTATAACAATTATCATTATTAAGAATTATTCGAAATTGTAACATTGTCAGCATTAAGAACTATTCGAAATTATAACAATTATCATTATTAAGAATTATTCGAAATTATAACAATTATCATTATTAAGAATTATTCGAAATTATAACAATTATCATTATTAAGAACTATTCGAAATTATAACAATTATCATTATTAAGAATTATTCGAAATTATAACATTTGTCATTATTAAGAACTATTCGAAATTATAACAATTATCATTGTTCTTATTGTCCTTAGAAAAATCTCATCATTAGTATTGTTATTATTTTTGTTTCTATTCTCGTATGATAGCTGGACTCGTAGGCTGCGGACTTGACAAGTGTCAGGCAAGAGTGAGCGCTCCTTCTTGCTTTGTCGCCCTCCGCGCGGCATTCTGAATGCTCTCCTCGTCGATACGGCTCTTCCTGCCCAAGGCCGTCCTCGATAACAGCAGTGCCGAACCAACCGGAGCCGACGCTCCCAAGGCTCTCAAAAAGGGTTTAAGGGTATAGGGTTTGGGGTTTTAGGGTCTTGTGGAGTTTCCCGGCTGCTTGCAAGAGTCCTGGATGCAAAAGGGTAGAGNNCAGGCGATTGCACAAGTCCTGATGCTTTGAGTCTATTGTTCTTTGGAGCACCCTTGGACCCCGCATTGAGCTTTCCCTGGAAAGCTGCTGATGCAGGCGAAAGTCATGGGAATGGATCAGCAGCTGCTTCTTACCGGTGTGGCGGCCGTGGTGTTGCGTCCTCAGAGCTGGTCACTGCCTTGTTGATTCCGATTGCGCGGCTTATGTGCCGATTGCGCTGCCAAGGCTCATCGTGGTGGTGCCGGTAGGCACAGAACCTTGCAGACTGGAGCAAAACACCGACGAAGTAGTTTCCTCTGAGCGTGGGGATGCAGAGAACGGAAAGGGGATGGTGGCCAGACAAATGCAAGCAAACAGAAGCCGGGCAGGTGTCTTCTGCTGTTGCTGCCGGAGAAAGTAGCCCGGCGCCGTCGTGGGAACTTCAGGCGAGGTAGTCATCCATCCATCCATCCATCCAT